AAAGTTGAACAAAGTAAAGCTAGCTACCTAGCCTTTTATTTTGCAAACAGTATGCGCTTTCATCTAAATTAGTGTCGTGAAAATTTTACCAATATATAATACTATAAATAATAATACATGTAATATAATTTCTCACATTTTACGCGGGTTACACCTTACAGACCAGTCTCTACATAATTTTCTATAGTATTCAAAAAATTAGTCAATTTTCGATACCTACTAATTAGATTGATAATATATTGCGGTTTTAGTAATTGCGATAAATTTTATTTAAATATTTTACATTTGTTTTAAGTTAATAAAATATTATCACAAAAAACTGGTTTCCTTCTTCTTGCTCTTAGTTCTTCAAATAGCAACAATCGAAAAACATTTGAAAGAGTTATTAGAGGCGCCATCTCTTAAAAGAAATACCAAGCGTTGATGGCTTACAAATCTGAGTATAGCTTTCTCTAATGTAACATGTAATCCAAACATTGAAGATACATAATTAATTACAAAAACAAACTTCTTTTTATTTTATTACATAAAAAATATAGAAAATATTTTGACTACGTTATTATTATTATTATTATTTTTTAATTAATATCAACCATATTATCTTTTCTCCGCAAATAATTATAGTTACCTGTAGCTTAAAATAAAAACGATCGATAGATGTAGATAAAGTTTTCCATGTTAATATTGGTCACTGTACTTTAATCCACTAACTTCAAATTAATAAAGTTGGGTACAACAATTCTTACGAGAAGAAATATAAGGTTCTTATTGGTTAATTATTATTGATTAATAATTTCTTTTACCATTTCAATCAGAAAGAAAGTATGATTGTGCTACATCAGTGTATCAGAAAAAAAAAAACTTTGTGCAAAAATGCATTAATTATAGTGGTTCCATTTAAAAAAAAAATAAGTTGGCTTTGCATCTCGAAAACAAAAAATAAAGCAAAAAAAAAATGTTTTTGACGAATAATTATAATAATTAAAGCACAACTTCTTGTACTCCTATACCTACCTAATTTCAGTTGATTTGTACAATTGGTTCTCACGATTTATTTAACCGTTTCCATACATTCAAGCGACCTGTATATCTAGTTAGATGAATGGAAGGAACGTGTGGTTTAGTTAATTAAAGATAAAAAATTTCTTGAGCTTAAATATCTTAAGATAGACTTTTGTGTTGAAACCCATATACTCGCATCTTAAAAGGCCGATTTCAATTTTAGAAACTGAACTGGTAAAGCTCATTGAGCTAGGAAAATATCGTAATCCGGACTATCTAACAAACTCTAATTTCATGTTTCCTCGTCGTTTCGTAGCTCCTAAAATATGAAACAGTAGATCTAGCTTTTAGGTATGTTGTTTGTTGTGTGATAATTTTCGAAACTACTAAACTGACATTTTATACGTACCATAATTTAACTAAAATTTTTGCGTTCATCTAGATCAAAAATTTGATGACGTTAACTGAAAATCCTGCTGAAAATTTTCAAAAGAATATGCTTTTACACTTGTGATTTATCAATAAACCCGAGCGTAAGCAAAGGAAGTGTTGTAATCGAGTCCGTCGGCCAGCTCTCTACTTTTGCATTTCCTCGACCTATCATGAGCCCTAGAGGACGAATAAATTTCCGTCTGTCTGTCCGTCTGTCCGTCTGTCTGTTCGTCTGTCTGTCGTTTTTAATAGACAGATAATCTCCGAAAGTACTGGGCCGATTGTTATTAAATTTTGTATTTATATTAGGTATATCATGTATGGTAAAACGCTAACCAAAATTTATCTAATCATCCCCACCACTAATGGATGACGTCACTTCAAAATTATACATAGTAATTGGGTTTTAAATTGTATCAAATAACATAGTCTTACACATGTAGTTTATGACTCTGATTTGAGGTTTTACCCGAAACGTCCAGATTTTTGGAAAAAAAATCAAAATAAGAGAACAACATTTTGCAATTTAATTTGGAATCTACGAAACCGAATGCTTTGAATCTTGCAGATAATTTGCAGTTATGATAAACATGATAAAATTTTAATCACAATATATTTACTTATCCCTTCCAAAAATTGATGACGTCAGCTCAAAAGTTTGCCGAATAAATCCTATCTAAAATGTACAAAATATGATGACTCTGTATTTGTGATTTATCGTTCCATTCATATTTTTTGGATTTGCATATACAGGCTGACTCAAAAAAATTAATGAATGCGTCAATGTATTTTATTGATTAAATCAGAAACTACAAAACCAAATGCTTTGAAATCTTGGAGATGTAAAGTAATAATAGGCAAAATTTTGATCAAAATGTATTTGCTCATCCCCCCTAAAAAATTGTTGACGCCACCTCAAAATTTTGCTGAAAAAAATGTGCTATCTGAAATGTGTAAAGAATGATGTGTCTTACTTGTGATTTATCACTGCATTAATATTTTTTAGAATTGCTTATACGGAGTGTCTGAAAAAAATTAATGACTGAGTCAATTTATTTTATTGATTAAATCAAGAAATGCAAAACTGAATGAACTTTGAAATCTTGAGACGTTTTAAAGTCATTCTAAGCATGGTAAATTGTTAATCAAAATAAATCTGTTTATTTCCCCCAAAAAATTGATGACGTTATCTTAAAATTTTGCCGAATAAATTTTACCTAAAATGTGCAAAATATGATGAGTTTTTACTTGTGATTCATCATAGCATTCATATTTTTTATTGATCAAATTAAGAATGAGTCACCCCATTTTCCCGAAAATGTGAATATACAAACGTCTTTATTTAATAAAAATAATTATGTTCAAAACATTTTGTCGATTTTCCTCTTGATCCTCTGTTTTGAGAGGACGAACTCATTCAAATCAAATTAATTTCTACGTGACATTCTTCCGATGTATAAACAAAAACACTTTCAAGTTGTTTTTTTTATCTATTGTGAGTCTATTGCTCAATTTGGTACTTTCAAATTTTCTCGATATTTCATAAGGTCGTAGCTAGGGAGAGGCTAAGGGATGCTCCCCTAGATCTAGACAAGTTATAATTAACCAAATGTGAATTACAGCATCCAAAAACCAAATAAAATGTAGTGTTTTATTCAATAAACGGAAGTCAGAGCAATAAAAAAGTCTAGACCGTCGGCATTGTCATCCGGTTATTGCAATTCGTAGAAAACATGTTTTAGTTTAGTTTGTGTTTCACCGTCACGTCTACAGGTTGACAGGTGTAATGGCTATTTGTCTTAAATTACAAGCACTACACAGGATGTTCATTTTATCTGTTCACGCCTGACAATTTTTGCATAGGCAACATATTATACACCCCAGATACGACTATATTCAATTTATTTTTTTTTTAAATAAGCAATCATAGCAATCACAAAAAACATGACAAATATGTCAATGCCAAATAATGACAAAATTGAGAAAATTAATACTTTTTTTTTAACTTGTGTTTATTGTGGAAAAAAAATTAAATTGAATAACAAAACCTCACATTTTATTTTAGAAACTATAAAACCCAATTAATTTGAAATTTATAGTGCAACATTCTCCTTTATCTGTCTTAGAACTTGTTATGCAGAATGTTTAAAAAAAGTAGTGAAGGAAGTAGGTAGTTATTACACTAATTAAATCAAAAAAAGTTTATTTAATTTTCTTGAAATTCTGTGTACAAGGTAAATTTTTTAAGGTTTGAACTTAACTTATGGGGGTTGTCATAAAAAGCAGGTCTAAAGCTGTTTAAATAGAACTTCCCTTGTCTCTGACGCATACAGAAAGTGGTATGTGCTTCAAGGGCGAAGGGAGTTCTGTTTATATTACTTTAGACCAGGCAACGGTAACTTTTATTTATGGAAATTTAATTGTCCAATTTATCTTCAAAATAGACTTTGTTGAATTTTTCTGGATGTACAACATATATTTGGTGTCTAAATACAAATCTGATAAAAAGTTATGTCTCTAGCTTTAGTTCTTTTTCTATATATCGTTTCCGATATGAATTTTGAAAGCTTTCATCCGCTTGTCACATCGACTGTTGTGAATTAATAACCTTTAAACCGAATTTAACATCGGAATGACAAGTGCCTCGAACACAGTGATAAACACTACTCCATATGAAAAAAAAAACAATAATATATGAACTAGATATTTAATTAGACACTCGTTAAAATGTTAGGAATATTTTTGTGAGTTTTAAATTTCGAGGTTGCGAAAAACCCACAGCGTTTTTTTTGATCAATTTCAGTATTTGTAATTACCACACAGTAAGTAACCAGTACTGAATTAAAAAAAGACTGGTTTAATTCATTTCAAATCGGATGTAATTAACTAGTCGGAAGAGAAGGTACCTTAAATACAAAATGTCAAGAAAAAAGTATATTTTTAACGAAGTTGCAGACACAAATAAATTTTTCTTTTGCGTATGAAGTGCAACCGCAGATAATCAAATTTCCGTCATAATAGAACAAAAACAAAATATAGAGTTACATACACTTATAGTACGCAGTATCTCTAATTTTTCCTTCTGTTTGCAAATCTCACTACCAAAACAGATAAAGGTTATCGAACGTTGCAAGTGTACACAACCTTCTAGCGACCTTGTTTGTCTTCATTCTTTTGTAAAGTGACAATAACTTTCCAAGTCGCTTTCAATCAGCACTATACCTGCAATTTACCTACTTCGTTTTCCCGAAAGGACATCTGCACAGTTCTGGCATTCGTTGCCATACCTGTCAACCATACACTTGAACCGGGTCCTTGATAAAAACCAATAATACAATATCTTTTAAAACTAATATTCAACCAATACAACAAAAATAAAAAATGGAACTCTTAACAGAACTAAGATAATGCAGACAATTGAAAAAAGTGTCCGTTACACTTCCGCAAACAGATTCATTTTCCCGATGAACAGAAACTTTCATGAATATGTTGAGTTATGAATGTAGGTTGCATTGGATTTACTTTCACTAAAACGCTCAAAAAAGTCGACCTTGTGTTTGTTTAAACATTTTTCGCATCAGTTCAACACGATGAATTGTTTGTGCTGTTGTAGAAACAGCTAAAGTTGATTTTCCAAAACGTGCGGCCGCAAAAGCGTCGCTTCTTCGTTTCATTTCGAATTTTCTGGGTTTTTTTGACACAATGTACGTGAAAATTGCGTGTTTTTGTTTGATTTTTGTGTGTTTATCGGAGTGTTTACCGACTGTTTATAAATTCAACGAAAATAAAGTCTTGGAGCCAGGTGAGTAGGGAAAAGGGCACTTGCGACTAAAAACCCTTTCACTGAGTTTTGTGTTATTTATTTAGTATAAATATGTGGAGTTTTCTAGATATAGTGAAACGTAGTTTGTAATTGACGTTATAACGAGTTTAGAAACCTACACGAATATGCAAATATTTAATAATATAATATAAGGTGACTTTTATAGTTTTTCTAATGCGTCGTTTACTTTAGATCTTGTGCCAGTATCTTCCACGGTAATTCCTCTACCAGTCTATCAAGTGAGTTATGGGTTAAACGTAGTGCCGTCCTTAAAGGACGACAAAACAAAAAGACCAGAAGGGCCTATTACACTAGTGACAGGTAGAATTTTTCTTAAATGTTTTAACCACGAAATTGAAGAAACTGTTTCAGTTAATAACAAGAAGAAGGCAACACAGCAGACAAAACTGAAACCCCACGACGTTTCGGTGGTGAAAGAAGTCAGCAAGAAAGAATTTGATAGCTAAATCCAAAGGATATATAAATATCACTAGAAACACTAGTTCAAACGAGTTACCTTATTAATATGAACCTGACTGGAATTTCTAACATAAATAATTTATGAGTAGTCCATGTTCTCTCACCTTCAACATGTGCAGAAAGTGCGGATTAGAACTGATCTAGGACAAATTTGATAAATAATAATTGTGTTTCCAAATAAACCATTACGACATAAAAATCGCCGCGAAGATGATAAACAATCCAGTTTACTAATCCTACTTTACTTTATTTTCTTACTTGTATAATTGCAAGTCATCACTCGACAAAATTAATTTCTATTTTAAGTCCTAATTATATTAAAAAAATAAAAAACCCATTAGTTGGCACAACGTACTCACAGTTTAGAGCGTGATCAGAAAATTGTAATTTTCCGTTTTAATTAAATAAATCGATAAAAAATCAAATTTCAATTTATTCTTCCAGATAAATCGTCAAATCTTCAAGAATACAATTCCATCACCACTGACCTCTAACCCCATCGTTGTCGTAACTACTTCAAACATTTTTTTGATCGGTTATCGTATTTTAATTATATTTTCGCATTAAATGATAAGACCGGATTTAAATAAATGGATTTAAAGCACCATCCGGTCAATCGATTTGTGAAGTTACAAGTGAAGTTTTCAAAATTTTCTCCTCTCGCACAAAATGAGTGTGATTATTGTAAGTGCATACTAGACTAGAAAGCTTGCTTATTTTTTAAACGTTTTTTATTAATTTAAAAGTGAATAATCTTGTTTAGGAAAGTAGTCCGGTTAAAGTAATCGATCCTTCCGAACTGTTGCGTCCGGAACCAGCCTTCGCAAAAAAACCAGTTGCGCAATTCCGCGATTACTCCATCGATGAAAATGATCCCATCAAAGAAAGAGTGAGGAAAACATACAAGGAAATGCATACACATCAAACTGTCGCCTTTGTTCAAGGTTAGGATTTTTTTACTCATCGGGAATTACAGCTTGTTCAGATTACATCATTAGATTGACATTAATAAACTGCTTAATTATCACTTTACGTTTTATGGGTATATTTTAAAAGCGACATTTCGAATTTGCATTATTCAAGTAATTTAAAATATCTGAAAAGTAAAAGTACGCGACTTTTTTTATTCACTGGCCTTTAATAGATCGTACCAACATTATCGTCAATAATTTGTAACTGGTGAAACTGATAACCCCAAAAATAAACACTTTCGTTGGTTTTGCGTACGACTCGAGACCCCGTAATTAGAAATCAGTTTTATGTTCTTCTTTCCAGTTGGTAGCCGATGCCGCAAGGCTGTAACATCCGTTATTTTAAATTGTAGGTAACAGTTTCGACTTCACAATACTCTAATTGGAAAATTGGCAATAATTTATGATTATTTCTAAAATATAGATACATATAAAATACACTGACCGGCAAAAAAAACCGGCCACCCTAAAAATTTCGCAAAACCACTTTAAAAATTATGAATTTAACTAGTGATCGTTATTTTATTAAAAAACCATTCACTGTTGACACATGATGTACAAATTAGCAAAGAAAAGAAGACAAATAAACGCAGAATTAAATTTAATTTAACAAAATAACAGAAACAGACTAAGTACGATATTTTCTTAAAAAAACAATAAAGGAGGCTGTTGTTGTAAACAGTGTTTTTCATCAGTTTGGCAATTAATAAACATTTTCACGCGAAAACAATTCCATTTACTCTTACATACGTCTCTCAAATTCTCGCTCTATTTCTGTTATTTTGTTAAATTAAATTTAATTCTGCGTTTATTTGTCTTTTTTTTTTTTACTAATTTATACATCATGTGTCAATAGTGAACGGTTTTGCGAAATTTTTCAGGGTGGTATTTTTTTTTATTCAATTATTCCAAAATACTTGATAAATGGATTTTTTTTACTAAACGAAACTACTAATATTAATACTAATATTCAATAAAATTATGAAAGAAAAAATATCTCATGTTTCATCATATGCAAAGTATGAAATATAACACACGATATGCCAATAACCTGAAAACATGCTACCACAGTCTCTTACACCAGATTACTTGGTAATCAGAGGTATGAAACAGCTTTATAATCATGTTTATCTTACACACATTCCTGTAATTTAATTTTACTTTCCGAATGAATAGTATAGAAGTATTATAAGAGTCCATTTGATGAATGTCTAATTTCATGTTATTTCGACGTTTTCAGATAATCTGATAATCTCCGACAAAATTAGACCGATTGTTCTGAAAACTTAGGTGTGTATTTGGGAGCATCGTCCTTCAAGTATCCTCTCAAAATAATATTTAATGAAATTTTGGCACTGTGTGTTTTCCTTCGAAATGGAAAATCTCCCACATACAACCAATTTTCAAAAGTGGCGATCGTTCTAGTTAACAATTTCTGTAAAATGTTTGAAATTATCTTACATAACAGAATATATAGCCACATTGCTAATACCATCTGTTTTCACCAACATAGCTTTATGGCTGGGAGTTCCACTGTAACTAATTTAGTGATAATTACACAATATTTATGTGAATCATTAGATAATCACAAGCAAGTTGATGTTTTATACTAAGGTTATTTCAACAGGACTTCCCTCGCCCCTGAAGTACAATAAAACACATCCAACTTTTTCGAAAAATGACAAAATTTAATTTTGCCATTTTTTTGAGGACCTCATATATAAGCAATTTTAAAAAATATGAATAGAATGATAAATTACAAGACTCATCATATTTTGCATATTTTAGGTAAGATTTATTTGGCAAAATTTTGAGATGGTGTCATCACTCTTTAGGTGGGTCATAACGGATAAATTTTGATTAACGATTTACCATGTTTCTGAAAACCTTAAAACGTTTGCAAGGTTTTTTCTACAAAAATCTGGATGTAATATTGTAAATTTTAGAGATGCCGTCATCGCATTGGTGGTGGGGTCGATCAGACAAATTTTGGGCAGCGTTTTATCATCTGCACAATATTTCTAATATACGTACAAAATGTGATAACAATCGATCAGGTAGTTTAGAAGATTATCCCGTCTAATAAAAATCGACACAGACGCGGACGGACAGCAAACGGCAGACAGACAGACGGAAACGAAAGACCTATGTTTTCGTATCGTAGCGGCCATGAAACGTCGAGAAAACATAAAAGTAGTAGGATTTTCTAATTATATATTTTGTAAAATTCGGTTGTTAATTGTTTAAGTTTTCCACATTCATCTGGGTTTGGAAAAGTGAAATTTTTACAAACTAGAGTGGAAAAATAAAACAAAAAGATATCAAAATCTAATTTTTATATATGTTAACTACAAAATTAGAACAATTTCTAGTTTAATTAACAGGTCAATTTATCATTCGCATCGAAGACATTTCCATCATGGTTTTGTATTGATTCTTCTGATACCTTCTTAAATGTTTCACTTATTTTTTCACTACACTGTTGCTTTTCGCCCACTATTTTTGAAGATATTCGTAATTTGTTTTCAATGGAATTTTCAATATACGACTCAGCTACAGTTGCAGACTTCTTACATTGGTTTTTGTCCTTGGAATTTCGATGAGAAAAAAAGATTGCATATCTTTAATGTTTTTAATATCAAGAAATGTCAGTTCCTCACGTGGACAATCAACACAACTTATAAATTAAAAGAAAAAAATTTATTACAGAAATATCAAATTTTAGATAAAGCGTAACTTAACCGTAAATACGCTCCATTTCTTTGCAACTTCACCCACTGATTTTCTTTTGATGAAGGCTTTATAAACTTACATAGTTTCTAATTTCGATCTTCTTTTATTTCCTGAAATTTGGAAATTATCCATCATAGTAACTGAGTAACTCCTATTTTTAAGAAAGGTAAAAGAAGTGTGATAGAGAACTACCGTCCTATCTCGCTGATCTGTAACTTTGCTAAGGTTTTTGAACTTGTCTGCATAGATTTCTTCTTTTTAACATTCGTAATAAGATCTCCGAATCTCAGCATGGTTTCGTGTATGGCCGTTCTACTACTTCCAACTTATGTACTTTTACTCAGTTTGTGTCTGACTCTTTAGATAAGAGACTGCAAGTAGACGTTGCATACATGGGCTTCTCAAAAGCTTTCGATAAGTTAAATCATAAAATTCTATTAGTTAAGTTGAACAATATTGGATTCTTTGTCGCTCTCCTGGAACTAATCAAGTCTTATCTACCTAACAGGCTTCAGATTGTAAAATATTTAGGGCATGTGTCCAAGACGTCTGTTGTTTCTAGTGGCGTACCACAAGGCTCAGTCTTAGGTCCTCTCTTCTATAGATGGATCTATAGATATATAGAGATATAGCTAGATATGAGGACTGTCTATTACTGCAAACGGATTTACTTTATTTCCTGCAGTGGAGTAAGTTGAATATGCTTCCAATAAATTTTGATAAATGTCACATAATGTCCTATACTAATAAGAATTCACAAATCTCATATGATTATACTTTAAATGAAGCTGTGTTATCCAGAGTAGACTACTTTTCTGACCTGGGCGTGACTTTCGATCCCAAACTTACGTTTCGAGCACATATTAACAACATCTCTGCTCTGAAATCCCTTGGATTTATTCTGCGCTTGGCAGCAATTTCAATGACTTGGAATGTTTGCGAATCTTATACTTTTCTTAAGTGCGCTCTAGGTTGGAATATGCAAGTATAGTATGGTCCCCTTTCTATCAAAACCACACTGACGCTCTAGAAAAAATTCAGCGCCGTTTTCTTAAATATTTAGCATATAGAGTAGATGGTACATATCCAATAGGAGGTACACCCCAAACCTCTCTTTTAAATCGATTTCAACTTACGGATTTAAACACTAGATGCACTTCTTATTCATTAAACTTTCTTAGAAATCTAATGTGCTCACAAGTTGACTGTTCTAATCTTCTCAGCAAGCTCTATATCTATTGTCCAAGACTTTCTTCTCGTGACCACCGTTGTTTCTATCTGCCTACACCGCGTATAGATGTTGAAAAGTACTCGCCTGTTTATCAAATGACCAATAATTTTAATCTGAGTCAGAATGATTTTGATATTTTTGTTGTTTAAATAAAATAAAATAAAAAATAAATAACGTTCCCTATGGGATAAAGTAGTAATTTTAGCTACTGATTACCCATTTCTTTTGTAAGTCTGTAATTGGGTCTTGCACCCGTTGACTTACATATATATAATAATAATAATAATTACATTCCCTAAGTGTTGCTCGTAGCATTGAATAAATACTCTATAAAGTAGGACCTTTCAAAATTCGTGATTTCTGTTCGAAGTATGCTAATAATACCTCTTCATCCACTTCTTGCACTCTTTTCTCCAAGCACCAGTTCTCGAACTCCTACGCCTTTTTATATTTTTCCTTTGATTTCTCGGACAATAGTGAATTGCGTGCCAGTGTGGCTAATTCTTCAACATCAAAAGATGCTGATGCAACATCATCTTCCAACATTTTTACCGCAAAAAACACCAAAAACGCTTCAAACGTTGAAAAATTGCAAAATGTTGCATTGTTTCTTTGCATTTTCCATGACAACAAATTTATTGCATTGAAAGGGACTTGATACTTTATTATTCAATAAAATTTATAATGAAGAGTTTTTTACCTAATTTTACAAAATCTTGTGTGCAATTTGATACGAAGTGTTTTTCCACATTCACGACATGTTTTTGATCTCGACTTCGTTGTGTGAAAAGAAAAACTTTTCCTATCTTATTGCACAAATAGCTATGGTGAAACTTTTTGAGTCATATTTCAGAAATAGGTCACTTTTTGTACAGTACAGGAGACACAGATCGTCAAAATTTCTATAAAAATCCAGCGTACCCTAGGGTTCGGTTTTGGGACCTTTATTGTTTGTTATTTTTGCAGGAACTTTAAATAGAGAAGGAATTGAACAAAATCTCATAACACA